GTAAACGCTCACGTTTGTCACGTTGCTGCTGGCTGGCAGAAGTTTGGGCAGTGTATGGCCCTGCCAGCACCACTCTGTTCAACCCAAGGTACTTGTTGGTTTGAGTTGTCGAAGGAGCTTGTTGGAAAATAGTTGGCTGAACACTGGATGCAGACGCAATTTGTATTTTCTAGCAGCTGGTCGGAATACAATGGCCCAGTAGGGGGGGGGATTCATCCATCTGTGCTGTTGGTGTGGATGGAGGAATCTGTTATCACAACATACAAGGCCATCTACAAAAATCGCCCCTAACTACATCACCAACCTCATCTGTCGATATTGCCCAAATCATCTCCTCAAGACCTCCTGCTCCCTTGTTATCTCCTCCCATGCTCACCTGCAGGACTTTTCCAGAACTTCCCCCATCCTCTGGAACTTTTTAACCCAGTATGTCCGGTCAGCTCCCACCCTGTCCACCTTCAGGCGATCCTTGAAAATTAATTTATTCATGAAGGCCTATCTCACCTCCACTTGAGAACTGTACTTGAGTCACCTCCATCAGATCATCCTCTGCAGCTATCTCCTTTTGTACCACCTCCCCTTCCTTTAGATTGTAAGCTCTACGATCCGGTCCCCCCCCTATTCCTCCTTTACTGAACTGTATTGTAATTGTCCCAGTTTTTGTATTGTGAGACACTGCGCAAACTGTTGGCACTTTATAAATCCTGTATCTACCTATCCATCTATCCATTCAGTTCGTATCCGACCCTTGGCGATTGCATGGACCGTCACTTGTAAGTGACTTTTTCCATGAATTCTCTTAGCAATTATTTTTACAGGGTAGGTTGCCAGGTCTTTCCCCAACCCCTACCATGTAGGAGATCCCGCATGGCCAGGGATGAAACTAGGACAATTTAGACAGGAGCCAATTAACCTACCAGCATGTCTTTGGAGTGTGGGAGGAAACCGGAGTACCCGGAGGAAACCCACGCGAACACAGGGAGAACATGCAAACTCCATGCAGGAGGCGCCATGGTTGGGAATCAAACCAATGACCCAATTACTGCAAGGCAGAAGTGTTAACCACTAATGCCGGCCATAGACGGTTTGAAAATCGGCCAATTTACCCACTGTTAGTGAGTTAATTGGTCGGTGCCCGGTTTTCGGGTTTTTTTTGGAATTTTAGATTATCGGGCATGTTGGAAAATTTGCGGAAAACTGTCGATTTTCGTGGCGATGGCCAAATCGGCCAATCGTTTTAATGATAAAAAATCTGCGCATGAGCCGTGACCTGCAAGGGACAGAAGTTTGGCTGTTATATGGGGTGAACTTTATGATTTAGTCGGACGATTTTTTTAATTGTTGGTGGTAACGTCAGCTTAACGAACGACCGATTTTTCGTTTATTTGAAAAATCGGCCAATGTTCGACCCGTCTATGGCCTGCATTCGTCACTGTGCCGCCCAAATCCTGTATAGGATCTTTTTTTTTTTTCTTTCTTTAAGCATGCAGGTTGAGTGAAATAAATCAGTACATGTATGGCCAGTTGAAGGCTTTGTTCAGACAGGCATTGCCACCCATTCTGCATGTAGGCCACGTGTGTTGCGCCTGCATCCGCCCCAAGCAGCGCACAGGTGGATACAGACGCAGCAGCAATACACCGCATGTTTTTGGATCCATGAACCAGCTCCTGCAAACGTGTCAAATTGACACATGGCTGTGTCTGCATCCAGATCTATAGGCTGCACGCAGCTCAGGGTGGATACAGATGCAAAAACAAACTACGCATGCGCAATCATTCCCCTGACTTTACTTGATGATGCTGTTCGGCACCGTGAAGAAGGGGGAGAGGGGTGTGGATTGGTTGGTGTTACCACTTGACTCCATGAACCTTAGGACCAATGGATGGTATTGGCTGACATGGACTTTTTTTTTTTCTTTTTCTTTTTCTTTTTCTTTTTTTTTTTTTTGAATGATGAACCGGTTCCATTTCAACAATGAATTTCCATAGTATTTGGAATCAAAAGGTTTCTTAGGAAATTTGAGCTGCTTTTCAAAGGAATATATGTATTCCCTATCATGGTAGTCCTTGTTTTGCCAGGAAATGCTGTGATTTATCTGTTCTTCCAGCATTTGTGAAATAAGCTGCATATTTTTGCATTCTACTACTCCCCATAGTTTGGCTTTTCATTCAGAGATTTTCTTTTTCCATTCAGAGATTTTTCATTTGTCACTCTGAAGAGTAACTTATATCTGTTTTTAGTGCTCTAGGTCCTGGCTGCTAATTGCTTGCAAACGCCATTTCATCAGTTTTTTAAACTCCTTTCTTCATGACTGTCATTCTCATTTTCTAACTTGAGGAGCTGGCGTGGAGGTTGGCTGGTTTGGTACTAAAGGCATAATTACCTGAAGAATGTTACCCCAACATTTCCTATTCCTGATATGTGCTGGCTGTACCATGTACTTGTATGAAAAAAGTCTCCTGTTCTCTTTGTATTGCTTCCTCTGTGTGTGAAATCACTGGTGTTCCTGCCAGGCCCCCTGTTTTCCTATTGAAAACTGGCCGCACTATGCATGAAAGCACAGTATGGTCAGTTTTCTAGCTGTGCTGGAATCTGTGTGCTCTCCTCCAATGATCAGACTTGTCCTGACATGGCCTAAAGGCTCCATGTACACGGGACGTTTGGAAAACTCTTCTGAACGATGGAAACTGCTGGAAACTTCACCGGCCTACCTCATCACAGACTACCCCCGCTTCAGTCTATCCTGAATTCTGCGGCCAGATTCCTCCACCTTACCAACCGCTCCGCTTCTGCTGCCACCCCCCCTCTGTCATTCCCTCCATTGGCTTCCGATTGCCCAACGCATAAAATTCAAACTACTAACATTGACGTACAAAGCTGTTCATAACACTGCCCCTGACTACCTCACCGACCTGATACCCAAATACCACCCAACCTGTACTCTTCGCTCCTCACAAGACCTACTTTTTAGCTCCCTAGTCTCCACCTCCCCACGCCCAACTGCAGGACTTCTCCAGGACTTCCCCCATCCTCTGGAACTCACTACCCTAACCCATCACTGTCACCTACCCTCCTCACCTTTTAGGCGCACCTTGAAAACCCATCTCTTCAGGAAGCCCACCCCACCGTCACCTAACAGCCGATCTCCTCCACTCCTCCTACCACTCCATCCCCCACAGTCACTTCCTCCTGTGCCACTATCCCCTCCCTCCTAGATTGTAAGCTCCAAGGAGCAGGGCCCTCGAACCCCTCGTGTATTGTATTGTTACTGTATTGTCATGTACTGTCCCCCACTATAATGTACAGCGCTGAGCAAACCTTTTGGCGCTATATAAACAGCTGTTTAGCTGCGTTTGCATACCGCGTTAACATGCATTTGCGTTTAGAAGCATTTTTAAAAGATAATAGGAGACCTTCCAAAATGCCCAGAATGCACTGAAAACGGTACAACATTTACTATTTCAGACATTTTGAGTGCAGAGAGAGCAGAAGCAGAGAGCGCAGTATGTGTGGAGATGACCTGTCTTTTCTGGTTGTATTCACTATGGATCCCATCATGAGCATAATGCGGCGCGTTCTACAATTGTTTCCTGGAACTGACTGCGCTGGTGTACCGGGTCCATTTGAATACATGGAAAACTCTTTGCATGCATTTCTGATGATGAAAAAAGGCTCTGGACAGCATCTGGATATGGAACAGTTAAAAAAAAAAAAAAAAAAAAAAAAAAACTTATAAACACGGTTAGCCGCGTTTACAAGCGTTTGGCGTTTGAAATGATGATAAAATCTACTCTTGAAGTTTTCTGCGTTCAAAAAAACTGTAAACTCACTGCCTGTAAATGAAGATGTGTACACGGACACATAGGAAAACATAAAGGTGAGTTCAGGGGCTGCTGAAAAAAAACGCAGAAAAGCTCCTGAACGTCAGTTTATCAGCTGCAGTGTACATGAGCCCTTGGGGTAAAGTTCTGCCTTAAGTCGCCGTTACAGAACGTATAGAGGGGGTTATTTACTAAAACTGCACGGTGCAAAATCTGGTGCAGCTCTGCATGGAAACCAATCGGCTTCCAGGTTTTATTGTCAAAGCTTAACTGAACAAACTGAAGTTAGAAGCTGATTGGCTGCCATGTACAGCTGCATTAGTTTTAGTAAATCAACCCCACAGTACGGTTGCACTGATACTATTTCTATCGGCAAGTATTCAGTACTCGTCGATTACGGATACCTTCTGGTGTGATCTGAGACCATTCATTTTGTATTGGCTCAGATCGCATCACACAGGTATCAAATTCAGGTACCAGTACGTATGCAAATGCTTAGTTTCAGTATCAGTGTAACCCCCCCCCCCCCCCCCATATTGTAAAAGTGTTACCGGAATTCCTGAACCCTGTACCTGTTCAGGTCAGTGACTCGTATCAGAATGACAGCCAAGCAGTTTGTATTTTCAGATGGAACTCTTTATCAGTGACAACCACCCTGATTCTGTCATGACTGGTTTCTTTCAAGGGGAAGGTATATCATAACCAGTTCATTTTTTTTTTTTGTGAAAAGGTGAACTTGCCCTTTAAGAGGTTATATTCCTCCCCCTTTTCTTTAAAAAAAATAAATTTAAAAATGAAAGGGAATTAATTTTACCTGCAGTTGAGCTTTACGGATGAAGGTTGTGCAAAACCTTTGTCATCATTGCCGAATGCTTGTTGCATCACATGCCGGTAATTGATGTCCTGGTTTTAGGGATTGTTCCGCACTCCTTTCTCATGGAAGTTGAAGCAGTTTGGCAGAAATGATGGAGCCGGTTTATTCCTGCATTAGACGGGGTTATGACAGATATAAAGCAGTAACATGTATTTATCTTTAATTGATGGCGAATACAGGAGCGACTTTTATTTTGGAGGTCATGTGCGGTTTTCCTGTATTTTCTTTCTTTACTGAATATGCCTACAGTGACCTGTAAATGTGTACTGATCTCCTGTATAGTAGGTTCATTATGGGCAAAACAGCCATTCACATCTGCCTGGTAGGAAACTGCTGCTCCTTGGATCCCTCCAGTGCCGGTCACATGACCAGATGGCAAGGCATTGTTGTGATCTCGGATCTTTGCTTAGACAAAGCCGCAAACTGCCCTCTCTGAACTTGTGTCCTGAGCTGTAGATTTACATTGGTGGGTCTATTCCCCCTTCAGTCTATCATGAACGCTGCTGCCAGACTCATCCACCTCACTAACCGTTCCGTATCCTCCACCCCTCTCTGCCAATCCCTGCACTGGCCTCCACTCATGTCCTCCACCCCTCTCTGCCAATCCCTGCACTGGCCTCCACTCGGTGTCCTCCACCCCTCTCTGCCAATCCCTGCACTGGCCTCCACTCAGTGTCCTCCACCCTCTCTGCCAATCCCTCCACTGGCCTCCACTCAGTGTCCTCCACCCCTCTCTGCCAATCCCTCCACTCAGTGTCCTCCACCCCTCTCTGCCAATTCCTTCACTGGCCTCCACTCAGCGTCCTCCACCCCTCTCTGCCAATCCCTCAACTGGCCTCCACTCAGCGTCTTCCACCCCTCTCTGCCAATCCCTCAACTGGCCTCCACTCAGCGTCCTCCACCCCTCTCTGCCAATCCCTCCACTGGCCTCCACTCAACGTCCCCCACCCCTCTCTGCCAATCCCTCCACTGGCCTCCACTCAGCGTCCTCCACCCCTCTCTGCCAATCCCTCCACTGGCCTCCTCTCAGCGTCCTCCACCCCTCTCTGCCAATCCCTCCACTGGCTCCCAGTTGCCCAACGCAAAAAATTCAAAACACTAACAATGACATATAAAGCTGTCCACAACACTGCCCCAACTTACATAACCGATCTTATCTCTAAAGATCACCCAAACCGTGTTCTCCGCTCCTCGCAAGACCTCCTACTCTCTAGCTCCCTTATCTCCTCCTCCCATGCTTGTCTCCAAGACTTCTCCAGGGCGTCACCCATCCTCTGGAACTCCCTACCCCAATCTATCAGATTACCACCTACTCGCCTTTCGGCGATCACTGAAAACCTTTCTCTTCTGGGAAGCCTATCCTGCCCTTTGCTAATTCTAGTATCCTCTACTCTTCCAACCACTCCATCCCCCACAGTTATAACCTACTGTACCACTCACCCCGCCCTCCTAGATTGTAAGCTCCAAGGATCAGGGCCTTCAAATCCCTCTTGTATTGAACTGTATTATTACTGTATTGTCTCCCACTATAATGTAAAGCACTGAGCAAACTGTTGTGCCATATAAATCCTGTATAATAATCTTCCTATTTTATTTTTATTTTTTTTTTACTATATCCTGCACTCATTTAATATCCTGCAGAACAATTTATTTACTTTCTGACAGACACAAACTGCTGAAGGGCAGCCACATAAAAAAAAAAAAAATACATCCATATTGTAGCCAGACGCCTGGCTGCTGCTTTCCTGTTTGCATGGACAAACGTTTCCTTCTGCTTTTCATCTCCTCTGTAAATATCCACATTTTCCTCTAATGTACCTGCCCTTTGTAATGTCGTCCCCATGCTTTGTGCGTTCATACGTGTGCCTTCTGAGAGCCACTTCGTCATATAGGCAAATGTGGCCAACAGTATACTGAAGGGATGGCAAAATTGCATTTCATTGCAGGCTCCAGGGGCGGACTGACCATTTGGAAACCCGGGCACTGCCCGAGGGCCCAGGGTCAGTAGGGGGCCCCATGAGATGCCCCTGGTACCTGTTTCATAGGCTTTTTTGAGTTTGGGCAAGGACACAGGGGCCCCCATGATCCCCTATTGCCCGAGGGCCCCATGAGTTGTCAGTCCGCACCTGCGGCTCCATTATGGTTGCCCTCAAAGGGCAGGTTATCTAGTCCCCCCAACCCCCCCCCCCCCCCAACATCAGATGTAAAGAGCCCCCCACCATCCGATGTCAATAATGAGTCGAGTCCCCCCCACCTTCCCTTACATCATTGCACCCCTTGACCTTGTGCGGCTCCTGGGAAGAAGCTGGGGGCAGGGCCTTGGAAGCAGAAAGCGCAGGGTGTGGAGGAGGACCAGAGGAGGACTGGTCAGCTGCCAGAGTTTGGAGAAGCGAGGAGACTGTGGCTGCACAGAAAGGCACAGGATCTGCTGGAGTTCTGTCTGCATCTCTGCTGCCGATTGCTGAAAGGGGGGAAGAGGGTAGAAGGGCAAGAGGGGTGCCACAGCTACAAGTGAGGTGCTAGGGCCCTATGAAACGGCTTGGCGGGCTGGATTTGGTCCCTGGGTCCAGTGTTTGACACGTAGTCTAAAGGGATATTTAGAGTTGCACCTGAATGTGTTACAGCACAGTGAGCAGAAATGACTTTCATATATACAACACAAGATGCTGAAGAGGTGTAATCCCATGTCAACCCTTACATATTCAAAGCAAACTCTTACTCCAAGAAAGATACTTCAGATATATTGCATTAAGTCTTCACGCTGGCCAACTGAATCAGTGATCCGTCTGGTCAGTCCCTCCTCCAAGTTGCAGGTTGCCAACCTTTTTGCTAAAACCGCACCATTTTAGGGGCATAATCTTAGTGTTACTAAACCCCGCACCCTGGACCCCTGCATTCCCTCTATCTGCTCTCCCCGGACCCTGCATTCCCTCTCTATTCCCTCGCTCTCCCCGGACCCTGCATTCCCTCGATCTGCTCTCCCCGGACCCTGCATTCCCTCGATCTGCTCTGCTCATTCCCTCGATCTGCTCTCCCTGCATTCCCTCTATCTGCTCTCCCCGGACCCTGCATTCCCTCGCATTCTCCCCGGACCCTCTCGATCTGCTCTCCCCGGACCCTGCATTCCCTCTATCTGCTCTCCCCGGACCCTGCACCCTGCATTCCCTCTGCATTCTGCTCTCCCCGGACCCTGCATTCCCTCGATATGCTCTCCCCGGACCCTGCATTCCCTCGATCTGCTCTCCCCGGACCCTGCATTCCCTCTATCTGCTCTCCCCGGACCCTGGATCTGCTCTGCATTCCCTCTATCTGCTCTCCCCGGACCCTGCATTCCCTCTATCTGTTCTCCCACAGTACACACAACATGGAAATGCAATTTTTGTAAATATAAACAAAATACTTTCTCATCAGCAATATATAGCAGTCTTGTGACTTCTATCCGTGTCCAGCAGAGCACTAGTTAAAGCTTGTAGGAGGACTTTTCATTTTTCTCTAGGAGGATGCAGAACTCCTGACCTCTGGACAGTGCTGATTGGCCCTGTGCTGGTCACATGCTCTCTCCCAAGAAAAAACAAAAACCTAGCAATACACACCAAACTGAGCTTGTGCAGAGTGATGTCTTATCAGGCGATAAGAGGGGGACACTGGAAGAAGGGGAGGATCAAAAGTCAGGATCAAACAGCATTTTTACACAATGCAGAGGATTAACCCCTTAGGTTCCACAGTGAGTATAACAAGTATGCTTTACTGCATCTACAGACTGATTGTACTGTGGTGACTTTAGTGGCACTTTAATCTCAATATATTCATTCATGTTCACAGTGCTGGAAATAACGCAGCCCTCCTAAACTTGTATAGTGAGAGATTCAGCTAGCTTTACTGCATTCAAAATGAAAAACGTGTGTGTGTATTTATTATTATTATTATTATTATTAATAATAAATATATCATTTATATATATATATATATATATAATTAACCCTTTGAGGACCGTAAGATTTTGGACCGCCAAAAGAATCAATTTTTTTTGTTTTTAAAGTTCGTACACTTCAGGTGCTGTAACTAAGCCATTTCATGAAATAATTGGCAAAAAGCTAGATCCATTTGTTGATCAGAACTAATATTGTGACTCAAACCAAAAAAAAAAAAAGTTTTAAGTTCTTAATCAGATAATACACGCAATTAAAAACATGGGACAAATACGTCCCTTGGTCCTCAAAGGGTTACGCGCCAACAGTTGAACCCTTTCAATAGTTGGAGCAATAGCGGCAGTCCGTTTTATGATCCTGCCAAGCCGCCTACAATTGTGGGATCTTCATGCACACTATAGGACCAGTTATTTGTAGGGCGCTATGTCAGACCAGCACTGATCAAGTAGGAAAACTTTTAATACCCACGAAGATAAAATACATTTTATTTGTTTGCACACTTGAAAAAAAAAAAAAAAAAGTAACTTCCCATTGAACTTTGTAACCTTTTTAGTACGCATTAATTTCCTAATTGCTTCTAATAACCCAAGTGTTCCGCTTATCAGACCTGGCTTGGCAGCGTCTCCCAGGGTGGAGCAGTTGAGGTTTAACCAGCCAGAACAGGACTCCATTGTTCAGTAGTATTGTACACACTTCCACGAAGTACAAATGTAACAAGCGATATGTTAGGAATAACAGTCCAGGCAGGTTTGAGGCAGAGCACAGTAGATGGGATTCTCAGACAGTATTAGTCGGTGTATTTGGCTGTACAGGAGTGCCTTGGCAGGGATTTGGTGAACCGGTATGTGTCTGCCACGCACATGTCCACAATCCTCTACAACATTGTCATTTGTCTGCAGTGCTCCAAGCTTAAGTGGTTAACTTGATAGATTTAAACTTTTGGGTAAAGGCTTGTGGTCTGCGTCGGGCAAAAAAGCATACAGTTCTGCCTCTAAAAAGAGAACTGCTAGGCACTCTTCTCCTAATTTTGTGTATTGAAATCCTCGCTCATTAGAGGGATTCTCAGAACTGCTTATGTGCCATCATGCCAGGACCAAGTGAGTAGGTGACATCTCATTTACTCCATCCATTTCCTCTTTCTAATGTTGCCAATGAGCGTATATCAGTCTGATTTCACAAAGAACATTCATTCTCTGGAGTACAGACTGGCTTGTTCTGAACGTTGTGCGCCCCCAGAATGCAGTTATGAGATGTGGGCTTATGGACTGGTTGGGGGACTAAGTTGACTTGGACTCAGACCCCATATATTGACTTATGGTTTACATTTATGCTGCATTGTTGCAGACAAAAACAGCCAGAATTTGTGGCAGAGTTCTCCATAAGACCAGATATGGTTTTATATCTCTGGTCATCTTTTATTTGAATTTATTCTTCTAAAGGGGATGGTTTATATAGTCTAAAGCAGGGGTCTCCAAGCTGTAGCCCTCCAGCTGTTGAAGTACTACAAGTCCCATCATGCCTCTGCGAGTCTTGCCTGTGGTTGAGTCTTGCAAGGCCTCATGGGACTTGCAGTTCCTCAACACCTGGAGGGCCATCGTTTGGAGACCCCTGTTCTAAAGCAAAAAGTTCTTCATTTTGTACAATGTAGGCTTTGGTTAAACCCTTCTTCTTTCTAAACCCTTCTTTCTTTCCTTTCTTCCTCCCCTTTCCTTTCTTTCCTTCCCCTTCCTTTCCTTCCTTCCCTTCCTTCCCTTCCTTCCCTTCCTTCCTTTCCCTTCCCCTTTCCCTTCCTTTCCTTTCCCTTCCTTTCCTTTCCTTCCTTTCCTTCCTTTCCTTTCCCTTCCTTTCCTTTCCCTTCCTTTCTTTCCTTTCCCTTCCTTTCCCTTTCCCTTCCTTTCTTTCCTTTCCTTCCTTCCTTTCCTTCCCTTCCTTTCCTTTCCCTTCCTTTCCCTTCCTTTCCTTTCCTTTCCTTTCCTTTCCTTTCCTTTCCTTTCCTTTCCCTCGCTCGCTTCTCCCTCCTCGCTCCTCCTTCTTGCTTCTCCCTCCTCGCTCCTCCTTCTTGCTTCGCTCC